ACTTAAGTTTGAGGTCACATGTTTCCGTCAACAGTCGATGGCCATCTTGTTTTATTTTATTTTATGATATTTTGTTGTTTAATTTCATTTTGAATGTGGTTTTGAATTTTATTTCAGTTTGTTTTTGATATTACTTTATATTTTATACCATATATGTTGTTTGCGATGTTAGCAGCATTAGCAGTGTTAGCGGTATAAGCGATTTTATCAGTGTTGGAGGCGCTATCAGTGTTAGCTGTATTAGCAATGTTAGCGGTGTTAGCCATATTATTAGCCACATTAGGAGTATTAGCAGTTATAGAATAGTATAACAGCATTCTGTTAGCAGTGTTAGCCATGTTAGCCGTCTTAGCAGTGTTAGAGGGGTTAGCAGCGTTACAGGTGCTAGCAGTGCTGGAGGTGTTCGCTGCATTGGTTGTGTTAGCAGTATTAGCCGTGTTAGCCGTGTTAGCATTGTTAGAGGGGTTAGCAGTGTTAGAGGTGTAAGCTGTGGTGGAGGTGTTAGCGATGTTAGCATGTTAGCAGTGGTCGTACCTGCCACTCGGAGCAGCGCCGCCAGGCTCAGCAGCGTGGTGGACTGTCTGTAGGCCGAGCTGCAGCTGGAGATGCATTCTTCTATCAGAGACAGTCGGTTGGACCGAAGACGAACTGAAACACAAACAGAGAGCAGAAAGTTCACACGTGTTCTGGTTGCTGCAGTCGAGCTGCAACGAGCTGCAGTCGATGAACAAGTGATTATCAGAGGTCAGAGACGATGATGCTGCTGCAGAACTGATGCTCTGAGTTACTGCTTCTGTAAAACCACAGAACACACAAACATCTCTGCTTATCTCTAAAACACACATTTACTGAGGAATCGGACATTATTATTCTGCCTTTACTGCTGTTAATGTACATTTCTTTCTCTTCTGATTAAATGTTTTGTGCAGTTTTCCGTGTATGTGGTCAGTTTGTTTCAATAAAACTGATTAAAATGAAAAAAAAAAAAGTCACCAAACAGACACCACGCAGCAGCAAGAATGTGTAAAAGAATGATCAGATTTTCAACTTTCTGTGCATTTCTGTAGGCTTCAAAAACTAATTTATGCTTAAATTAGTGATATTTTTCTTTATTCTTTATCACAAACACACTATTTGTACTAAAATAAAGCATCCGCTCTGTGGAAACACTGCCTGCAGTTCAACATGAAGACATTTTTATCACACTGCTGGTCAAAATGTCGAGAAAATGGTAAAATTCCAAGATAAAAAAGCAACAATACGAGGAAATAAGTCAAAATTATGAGATTAAATGTCAATATTATGGGAGAAAAGTTAAAAATTGTGACATGATTTGAGATAAAAACTCTGAATTATGCCGGTAAAGGGTTGTAGGCGTGACACAAAAACTCATAATCATGAATTAAAAGGTCAAAAACAGATTAAAATTCTGAGACAAAAAGTAAAAACTATGAGAAAAAATATCAGAATTATGAGATAAAAAGTCAAATTTGTGAGATAATAGGTAAAAAATATAATAAAAAAATCTGAATTATGTTGGATTTGTGACAGACAGTAAAAGCTCTGACTGTGTAAAGGAGGATTGTTTTTATGTTTTTATTTTTAATTTAAATAAACTCATTTATAGCTCCGATTTGCTTTAACTTCCTGATGCGATGCGTTCAGGGACCGTTGGAGTTTTTACAGCTTTGGGCCGATAAACGGCGTCATTTGGGTAAATTTTGGCATCCAAACGTTTGATTGATCGATGTTAATGTTTTCATCTTTGCAGCCAAACTGTGTTTTTGTTTTCAGTTTGTGTTTTTCCATCTCATAAATGAAGTCGTTTCCACCTCAAGCTGATGCAGAACCAGATCAGAACCGCTCCCAAACTTTCCTCCAGCCGTGAGCGAGCTGATGGAACTTCTCTGTGAGATGCACACAGATTTTCCATTTTCATATTCTCCTAACGTGAGCGTCGCCGGCGCCCCGCTGAGCGCCTCGGCGGCTCGGCAGCACTCTGGGCGAAGCCTGGAGGGAGTTGTGAGGAGCGCCGCTTGTTGTGGAGCGTCGCCTCGGGGCCCGGCGGAGGCTGCAGGAGGAGCTTCACCTCGGCTCACACCTGCTGCATGTTGATCTGGATGGAGGAGGAAAATAGATGGCTGCTCTCTGTGGCGTCGCATCGGAGCGTCCCGGAGTTAAAGGAAACGATCTGCAGGCGATGAAGCAGCCGGGCCTCCAGAGCCGAGCAGTGATGGAGATCCAGACCCAGCTGGAGCTCACTGGTTCTCCTCAGTTCTGTCTGTCAGAGGTTCTGCTTCAAGCTCTGCTGTTTCTACTGTCGAGGAAAAAATGTCGTCTGAAGCCTCTGCTGGAAAACTTTGGCTGCTCTGTCGGTTTGTGTCTCATTTTCATTTTTTAGTCTCTAATTTTTAGGTTTTTATCTGATGTTTGGAGTCTGGTTTGGTCGTTCTGTGTCTGGTTTTGGTTGCTAAGTTGTTCGTCATTTTTTTTGTAATTTTGTCCAGTTTTTGTCGTTTTTTGTCTTTTTTGTGATTCAGGATCTTGTTTTTGTCTTGAAATTTTGAGTTTTCAGTCTTGATTTTGCTATTTAGATACTTATTTTTGTCTCATATTTGTGGTTTTGTGTCTTATTTTTGCAGTTTTAAGTCTCATTTTAATTTTTTAGTGTCTGATTTTTTATTTAGTCGAAGTATTTTTTCTACCACAAACACCAACATTCAATTTTTATTTCATGTTTGGAGTCTTGTTTTTGTCCCGTACTGTCTGGTTTTTGTCATTTTGTGTCTCCTTTTTACTGTTTTGTCTCTTTTATGTTGGTTTTTTATAACTTGGTTTCTTGCTTTTGTAGTTTTAGTCACATTTCTTCATCATTTTAGTCTCATATTTGTGGTTTTCTGTCTTATTTTTGCAGTTTTGAGTCTCGTTGTCGTTTTTTGTGTCTAACTTTTATTTAATTGATGTATTTTTTCTACCACAAACACCAACATTCAGTTTGTATTTCATGTTTGGAGTCTGGTTTTTGTTATGAGTCTTGTTTTGCTCATTAAGTTTCTTGCTTTTGCCATTTTGTCTAGTTTTTGTTGGTTTATGTCTCATTTTTGTGATTTAGCGTCTTGTTTTTTCACCTGTACTGTCTGGTTTTTGTCATTTTGTTTCTCATTTTTACTGTTTTGTCTCTTTTATGTTGGTTTTTTGTAATTTAGTTTCTTGCTTTTGTAGTTTTAGTCACATTGCTTCATCATTTTAGTCTCATATTTGCGGTTTTGTGTCTAATTTTTGCAGTTTTAAGTCTT